CGTCGCTATGCAATAATGATGCTAATATGTTTACTAATATTTAGCCTCGTGGTGTGGTCAATAATGTGTCAGTTCTACAAATATTGAGACAAGGTTTTGTTGAGAGAGTTAATGTGATCTTTAATGTAGCGCAAAAATGTTATAATATGGATTTTTATTTGTAAAAATAAGCATACAGGAGCTTGATTTTGGTAAAAGAGGTGGAAATGAGACTACCAATATTGACTACGACTTCAGGATACTCACCATTATTAGGAATTTCAATATAATAGTAATATTATTTTTAGCTTGGATTAACAATTAGTTGGTCATCCAAACACGGTAATTTAGAGATTTAAGAATATAGCTCTCATTCCCGGTTAATATTACTGATATCTAAACAGCATCTTAGTACATCATTAGCATGGACATGTTTAAGAATCAGTCTAGGGACGACTTTTTAATGTTTGAACGGTATATTCAGAATGTAAATTGACCCTTGGGAAAGATTATTGTACTGGACTAATTGTGTTCACTTCTTACTTAACATTTTTTTGGATTTAAGTGTGGAAACTAACATAGGTTTCGATGTTGATTACAAGGTGAATCCTTAGCCTGATTAGGACATGGGTCGTGAGGCCGAGGATGGAGAACTAGATTCTTAGTAAAATTGTTCTTTCCTGTTTTGAATAAGGTTACAAATATTAATCATATAAGATTACAATCGTATTTGAGTCTTGGATTGTAATCCTTGGTTATTAACTATTATTGCTTTGGAATTTGGATTAGATGCTCTAAAATTTTGAGTTAGAAGGTTTATAATATTTTGTCTAATGGATGATGTGAATGTTTAGTTGGTTCATATAAGAATTACTCATACCATTTAGTTGAGTACCCAATTAAACCAAACTCCACTGGACTTTTGATAAACCAACTTTATTAAACTAAATGACTATTTTCTTGATATTTATTTTTAAACCAATGAAAATTTTTGTATCAAATTTATAAAATTTAGGACTAAAAGTTTGGGACGTGACAATTCGTATCAAAGCCTAGGGATTATGTCTTAAATGGGAGCTGGGGGAATTAGGCTTGTTAGTTTTTGTTCAGAGGGGGTGTAAGTGAGAGGAACACTAGGATCACTAAAAAAATTGGTCTTTTAGCCGCGAAAATTATTGCCACTAAATTTATAAAAATTGTCACTATAATTATAGTGACAACTTTTGTATTGTCATTGAGCCGTGGCTATATGTGCCATGGTTAAATCATTTAGATGCAACATTTAATTTATTGCCACTAAAAGTAAATTTTTTAACTACTACATTTTTTTGGGAAAGTAAAATATATTCATCTGTGCAAAATTACATGTACATGTAAAGAATGTTTATCAAAGAGACCAAAAAACAAAAGAAGTGGCCAAGCACCTGAACTGCTATAAGTTCTGCCTTGTGACAGAACTTATGGCAATTCAGAGCATTCATGATGGAAGATTAGAGGTTCAAGCATTAGACATAGAATTGTTCCAATGCTGGAGAAAAGCAATATTCCGGGTGGATTGTTTGAAGTTGGCAGTGAGAAGTTTACTGCTAATAACATGAAGGATGGACTTCAAAACGGTAGTTGCATCCCTGAATTCATTCTTGAAGACTCCGGTGGTACTAAAAAGAATCTGAAGCAGCAATTTCAGCTTTAAGAATGTGAGTAAAAACTTCTAAGATGAGGACAAAAAGATAGGGGAAAGAGGATCGCCCTGTCCAATATCCCGCTTGCTAGGAAAAACCCAAATAACTCCCCATTAAGGTTGATACTAAATCTTGGTGTTGTGATGCAACCATGGATCTAAGAAATCATATTGGATGGAAAGTTAAATCTCCTGAGAGTGAAGATCACAAAATCCCAATCAACCATGTCAAAAGACTTCATTAGATTAACCTTTATTTCACATCTGGCCAATCCCATATTCTTGTGATAATTCTTCATAAGTTCTTGTGCAAGGAGAATGTTATCCCCTATACTTCTTACAGGTACAAAAGCTGATTGATTATGGGAAACAATATAAGAGAGCACCTCTTTAATTCTAGAAGCTATAACCTTAGAGATGATTTTATAAAGAGTGTTGCAGCATGAAATTGGTCTAAAGTCTTCAATCTTAAAAGGGTTATGGACTTTAGGAACTAAGGAAATGATGGTATTATTGAGGTCTTTCAACAATTGACCTCTAGTGAAGAATTCCAAGACTGCTACACAAATATCTTCACCAATAGTAGGTCAAGCAGCTCTATAAAAATGACCATTAAACCCATCAGGACCTGGGGCGTTGTTGGGGGTAAATAGAGAAAGTTGCCCTCTTGATTTCATCCTCAGTGACAGGAATATAAAAATGCAAAACCTGGTTATCTGAAAGTTGTCTCCATATATGGAAGGTTATGAAGCTCCTTATACCTGTATTGTGCACATGAAGAACTATTGCCAAGAATGGATTGGAAATGGTGGATAACAATTTGCTGGATCTCCTCAGGCTCATTGGATGTAGTCTCATCTACTCTGGTGATAGATAGAATTTTATCTCTGTTTCTTCTAAAATTTATGGTTTTGAAGAAAAAAGTTGAATTCTGATCTCCATCTTTAAAGCCACTAAACTCTTGATTTTTGCCTTAGAAAGTATTCCTCATTTTTTACTGCAATAATATAATCCTGGCGGAGTTGTTTCTCAAGAAATCTCAGGGCTGCATTCATAGGAAAAGAACGTAAAAGCCTTTGACATTTGTCAAGCTCCATCTTAGAGGCTTGGACCCTTATGGTAACGTTCTCACTTTGGGGTTTGGTTAGATCCTTGAAAGCCTGTTTAAGCATTTTCAACTTGGTGAAGACTTGGAATTGAAGAGTGCCCAAAACTAGTTTGGTTCATATGTTAGAGACAATTTGCTGGAAGTAATCTCTGTGAGTGAGGTGGTTATAAAATTTGAATGGACATTTCCTAGTTTTCCTTAACACACCCATTCTGAGAATGCCCGGACTGTGATCTGATAGACCAAATGGGAGAAATTCAGCCATAGCTTCTGGGAAGAGTTGATTCCAAGTATCATTAGTCAAGATTCTGTCAAGTTTCCTTACGACACACTGTCCAGGATTCCTATTATTTGACCAAGTGTAAAGAAGACCTATGAATCTAAGGTCACTTAGATTTGTACATTGAATACAATTGTCAAAATCATACATAGACTGATTCCAATTCTTAGTACCTCCCAAGGTCTCCTGAAGGTTTTGATTGCATTAAAATCACCCAATAAAGCCCATGGCTTATTCACAAATACTTAGGCTTGATAAGTTATGTGTCTCCATAGAGGCTTTCTATCTCTCTCATCATCAAATGCATAACTAAAAGGTATAACAAAAGTGGTGTTACTGTCTATGTGTGTGACAAAACAATGGATAATTTGCTCAATTTCCTCCAATTTATGGAGTCTAAGGACCAATGGGTTCCATTCAACCCATATTCTTCCAAAATGATGACTATAATAGTTATGCATATATTCCCAGTCTTTAAATGTGAACCTCATGGTTTCATCTTTATTAATATACCTGACTTTAGTTTCAACAATGCCCACTAAGTCAAGATGAGTTTCAAAAATTAGCTTCCTTACCTCTCCTTTTTTAATAGAGGAATTGAGACCCCTAGTGTTCCAACATCCTATATTGATCATTAGGATTTGGGGGGATTTTGGGTTAGAAACCCAGATAGCTTAGTGCTACCTGACCTTATGAAATGCTTCTTCTTCTTTTTCTTCTTGCTTTTAGAGGATACCAAATCTTTGAGGAAAGAATTATCAGAGAATGAAGTCGATACCTGTTCCTCTTGACATGTGGAAGGGCTGCAGTTATTTGGAGGACTGTCTTCTTCCTTATTCAATTCAGCAAATCTGTTGGGGGATTCAACTGGCATGACTTCAAGGACTTCTTTGCCCACTTCAGGGCAAGAGACTTGTTGTTTGGTTTGTAGGATCTGAGTATCAATTGGGACAGCTTCAACAAAGTTAGTATCATTAACATGAGTATCACTAGTGGGTTTGGAGTGGCTACTACTAGATGGCAGATTGCTTGTTGCATGAGGATTTATAGGATTTTGATCAACCACTTGAGGGAAAGAGACCACTTCTTTCCCCTTCCAATTCCCCTCTTTTGCTGTCTTATGGCTTTTAACAGTTTGCCAAGTCTCCTTAGGTGCTGCCTATTGGGGAGGTGCAACCTGCTGAGAAGGTACTCTCTGCTGGGGCGATGCTTTGGAACAAGATGTTATAGAGTGTCCAAAGCCTTTGCAAGCATGGCATACCTTTGGCTTCCAAGGATATTCAACTTTAATTTCCATGAACTTTGAATCACCCAGGCTAAGATCAAAAGAATCTATAAGATCATGGGTTGCATCTATTTTAATACAAATCCTTGCGTAACTGAGTCTGTTGCATTGCTACGTTAGTTTATCAACATACAATGGTTTGCCCACTGCACTAGCAACATAGCTTAGGCCTTCATCAGTCCAATATTCCAATGGTATATTGTGTAAATGAACTCATACAGGAATCATAGTTTGAGAGACCTATGTGAGCTCCATATTTGGCTGCCATTTCTAGAGAATTAGTGGTCTGCTCATAAGAATCCATGGGGCCATCTCAAGCACTCTAGCACATTCCTGCTTAGAAGAAAACTTGAAGAAGAAGAATCCCTTGTTATTTGCCAAAACCACTATTAAACCAAGTTTGTCCTAATGCTTGTGGGCAATACCGTTAACAACTGAGTATGGAAGTTTTTTCTCCACAAAGTATCCCATGAGTGTATTTCCCCAATTACAATAGCCTTTGCAAGCAACCTCTCCAGGGGAGAAACAAGAATTCTATTTTCATTCAACTTGGGTTTCAAGCACTTTAGTTTCGTGGGGGGTGTTTATGTTACATTGGAATGGAATTGGTTCCATTTGGGTTCTGAACCACTTGTGACCACGAGTTGCGTTTGTTAGGATCCAAAGTGGGTTTGCCCATCCCACTCCTTCTGGGAAAAGCAATTGTTTTGTCCTTGACTAGTAGGCATGTTCTGGTTTTCATTTTTTGAATTTTCACCATGAACAACGTGGGATGAACTCGGTGCTTGACTCATAGCAATGGGCGCAATTGCTATGGCATTGCTTAGTAGCTGTGAACTGCTTTCATGAAGGATATTGTTCTTCTGATTACCAATAACAATCTCCAGATTGGTAATTGCAAAGGCTTGGTCAGCTGCAGATTTGGAAGCCGCCATTTCAAAGAATCCATATGAGGGAAGAAGAAGGGAGATGAGTTAAGAAAAAAAACAGAGAGAGGTGAGGATGGAGGGGAATCTAGTGGTGATGGTGGTGGGTTGGGTGATAGTAGTGGTTGGTGGAGGTGAAAGTTAAGAGCTTAGTGGTGGTGTGGAAGAGTATTAGCAGTAGATCTAGTTGTGGTGGGGGATTTGGGGGTAGGCTAGGTGGATCAAGTTTTGGAGGGGAAATCTAGTTGTGGTTGTTTGGTAGAAGAGCTGGTGATCGTGGTGGAGGTGAGGATGGAGGGTTTGGTGGTGGTCCTTAACTACTGCATTTAAAATGTTACTAAATGTGAAATATTTAGCCACAATAGTTATTGTAGCAAGTTACAATAATTTTGCCACTACAATGTATCCTATCGCCACTAAAAGTTCGATTAAAACTTGACTTTTAGTGACAAAAATTAATCTCAACTAAAAATATACATTTTACCCACAACTAAAATACCAATGTGGGCTTGTCTGGTTGGATGAACTACTGATGCTTTGGGCTTTGTTGGAGTAACTTGATATGTTCTCTTTGCTTCATCTTGTTTCTTTTTGTTTCTCATCTTGTATACTTTTGTTCTTGGGATGGTATCTCTTCTTCTGTTCTGTTAAGAAGAGTTGCCATCCCTTTTGTCCTAGAAGAAGAGATGCCATCTTTTTTGTCCCTTTTCTTTTATTGATTGGTGTCAACTGTATATGAGACATACTTTTGCATACAAATCCATTTTCAGTTTAATGAAATCCTTATTTACTGGAAAAAAAATCATCACTAAAATTTGGAACATGCTAGTGACAACTTATTGTCGAGATTAAAACATTGAAATGAAAAAAAAAAACCTATAAATATTTGAAAGAGTTTATTTTTGAGTGTTTCTCAATTTCACATACTTGTCATAGTTTAATGAATCGACAAACACTCAATTTTAAAGATATAATTTTTAAATCAAAAAACGTGAAAATAACATTCTAATAATAGTATCGTTAAATTGTACGTGTACAATGCCTCATCATCAAAGAATAGGAATGCACAACAATTCATCATAAGGTCTCAAGCCTTAACTACATATATCTTTTTTTTGGCTGATTATTAGATTTTTCATCATTATTCTTAGGAGGCAAGTTTTACGAAGCTATTTTTAAAATTTTCATTGGTTTGTACCTTACAAAAACTTACTCAAAGTTAAAATACATTAGAATTACAAAAATAAAATCAAGATAACAAGAAACAAAAAGAGTATAACATACTTTAATATAACAATCTCGCCCAATTCCTCTTCGGCAAGGAACTCCGTCAGAGTAATCAATGCATCATTCATTGTTGGAAAAAAAAATGAAAAAATTATAATGAAATTTTCATGATTTGAAATATCCAGTAATTATAGCGAAGCTACTACACCATATATATGTATGGGTTTAAATTCAGGGATTTAGTAGAGTTAGGTGTTATTTTAATTCCATTGGATCAATTTAGACTTTAGCTAAGGGGTGACGACTCCAAATGTTTAGCCAAATGTACGTAATTATAAATTGTTTAAACCTTAAGAGATGTTATTATTGATATGATACGGTCAGAGATCCCACAACAGCAATACACGACTCCATCAATTTAGACTTTAGCTGAAGGTTGACGACTACAAATATTTATGTTAATGTACCTAAACTATAAAGATCTTAGGAGTTACTTACGTAGGATTGGACCCGGTTAGGCTCATTACACTTAAAAGACATCTTTCATTAAGGAAAGCTATAAACAAATAAACCAAATGTCGACAAACATGGTGCCAAAAAAAAAAAATAGGAGCCTATATAACTAATCCAACTATTAGTCCTTAATCACTCATTCAATTATACAACTTAGTTTTCATAATCTCTATAACTTAAAAAATGAGTCCGACATTTTAAAAACATATCTAGAAGTATCTATAAAGTGTTCAAAATACGTCCAAAAGTCCATAATTATTTTAATATGGGATTGATAGAACAAAAAAATTATAGAATAGACACACTTCAATATATTTATAATTATTATTTAAAAAAAAAAATCATGGTGGGTCTCACCCTCCCCCCCCCCCCCCCCCCCCCCACGGGGTGTTCCTAGAGTAGCTCTGCCCATGCCCACTAGCTAGGTTTTGTTAGGCTCCATACCCACTTTATCTTAGGCCTTACAGCTTCCCTTTTGGGATTACATTTTCATTTTTCTATATGATAGCTCTATAGGCTTCCAGTTCCTTATGATTCACACATCCTTGTACTTTATTTTCTTTTCTTCATCCATGGCCTGTGAGGTAAATATATGGTATATGATATCCACAACCTTACTGCTATTGAATCTGGGACCATTTGTTCATGGTGAACTACATGTCCCTTGTTACTTCATTTTAGGCGACGCATTAGTTGATAATGGCAATAACAATGGCCTCCTCACTCATGCAAAATCCAACTTTCCACCTTATGGAATTGATTTTTCCGACGGGCAGACTGGCAGATTTACCAACGGTCGAAACATGGCGGACATTATTGGTCTCCTCTTAACTTCCCTCCACGTGATTTTACAAAACATGTTGCTTTTAAATCCAAGTTTTCAATCTTTCTCAGTCAATGTTTTCTTCTTCTATTTTTTGGTTTAATGGTCAAGGGTGTTCAAACTTGTTTACGCGTATCTCGACTAATTCTTTTCTCAGGTTCGATCAAAGGTAAGTCATTTATACCGGGACTAGGGTATTTATGAGGGATAAATTCCTCGTGGCCTAGTCTTAAAGGGTTGCCAAGATTCAAACTTAGGATGTCTAGATTTAAAGCTCATTCATCTTATTACTTGAGCAAGCCCTTGAGGTGTTTATCAATATTTTTGACCAATCTACTTTCTTACTGACATGCCTATCATAGAAAAAATAATGACTCTTATCTCACTTTGCCCACTCAACTATTGAGTTTCTCATATTGCTCCCTCAACTATTTGACCCCAAAATCAAACACTCGGCATGTTGTAGACATAAAATATCCACATGTGTGGTAAACCAAAAGTCTTCAATGTCTAATTAAATTGAGGCAGTGTGAAACAAACTCTATAGTTCGAGGTGCAATGTAAGAAATGTGCTAGTTGAAGAGGGCAATGTGCTACTTATTGGTGAATGTGCAATAGAAGAAATGTGATATTATTTTTTTTTTCGGGGGGGAGGGGGGGCAAAATGAGATAGGGGGCATATTTGATGGGGGCAAAAGTGTAAATTCATGTGGATTATTTTGTTCACAGCTGAGGTTTCTTGAATTTCTATGATAGTTACGCTAACACAATTCAATCTATTTAATGCAGTTTTATAGTTCATTTAAGCTGCAAATTTTCATAAAGTTTTGAGGTATGTCATTCTAACTGAACACTTAACCTTGCAGCTGAACTTCTAGGTTTTGACAGTTACATCCAACCATTTGCAACAGCAAACGGCTCAGACATCCTTAAAGGTGTGAATTACGGGTCCAGTGCGGCTGGAATTTTGGATGAAACAGGAGAACAACTGGTATGGCATTTGTGCAAGTATGTGTGACATTATGTGGGTTGGGGGGTGGGGTGGGAGATCCCAAGCCCACAGCTGAAAACCAACATAAAAACCTTTAGTCAGATCTTATGATCATGAAAAAAAAAAAAAAAAGTCTTACCTAGTGTGTAAGACTCCATCCTATTACGGATTGCATGGGGAAGGAAGTTGCATCCCTATTGGAGAGATTAATTCTAGTTATTAAAGAGATATTAATTTTAGTTATTGTGAAATACATTGATTTTAACTGTTTAATCAAGTTTAACAAAGGGTTAATTACACTTTCCCCCCACAAACTAGGAGCTTTGTATCACTTTGCCCCTCAAATGTCATGTTTATCACATTGCACATTTAACTATGCTTGTTAGTTTCACACTGGTCAAATGATTAATGTCCGTTAGAAATTTAACAAAAAGATATTTTATTTTGGACTATGAGTTTTTTTCAATTTGTCCAAACACATTGACATTTCCCATCAAAAGATAACGGATGTTTGGGTTTTGACACTTTTGAAACTAGTTCATGTAGACAAAGGAGCAATGTGAGAAATTTGGGGCGCCTCCAAGTTTGTGGGGGTAAAGTGTCACTAACCCTAAAGGGAAATACATGAAAATAGATATATGTAGCATTGTTTGTAAATTTTACAAACACTGAACACCAAATTCCTTTTCTTTTTTCCACACAGGGTTATCGGTTCAGCCTGAATAAACAGTTACTGAATCACAAAGTCACTATTTCACACGTCGTTGTGTTACTAGGAAATAAAACTTTTGCTAAAGAATACCTAAGTAAGTGCATATATACTGTTGGAATGGGAACTAATGACTACATCAACTATTAAACGACACGAATATGTACACCAGATCAGTATGCCAGAGTCCTCATTGGCCAATAGTCGCTGCAGCTAAAGGTCAGTATCTAATTTCTACTTTAGATGCCGAGGTGAGAATGATTTTTACCAAATATAGCAATTTTGCAATTTTATTCCATATCTATCACTGATTTTTCAATGAAAAATGTGCGAAATTTTTCAAAGCAAGTAAATAACAACAAATTTGAAAAGTAAGTTAAAAACTGCTGTGGAGAGGGAATAAAGCTTGACAATCAATGCAGTCTGGAAATTGATTCTCAATTTTGAAGGGTTTGAAGGAAGATTTGACAACTATTTTCTTAATACTAGACTTCGTATGAGCTTGGAGCAAGAAAATTAGCAACTTTTAAAGTATTTATTTGCTAAACTATTGTGATTTTCTAACTTTATAACATCTCTACCAGGGTTTCTTTAACGAAAAGCGTGTGTATAAAATATGTTTTCCGTGGACGAGTATTTTATAAAACACACTTCACATTGCTGTTGATGCTAGATTTTGTACGAGCTCGGAGCGAGAACAGTAGCCATTTTTGGGCTTAGTCTAATGGGTTGCACTACAGCAAAGCTGGCCAAGAATGGCACAAGTGGTTCTGCATCGGTGGATACGATCAATAACGGAGTTCAACTCTTCAATGACAAGCTGAAGCCTTGATGGGCTCAATAACAATCTAGCTGATGCCAAATTTATCTATATAAACACTACTAGCATTTCGTTGGAGGACCCTTCAGTTCTTGGTACATTTCCACAACATTCTATCCAAATACTTCACCTTATTTTTGTTTAAATTGTTGTTTTACCACACAAGTACTGATGACTATGGGGTCGAATAATAAAAAAAGTAAAAAGTCGACTCTAAATGCAAACTCTTAGTTTCAATTCTCCTTAATCTTGTTAGGGCGGGCAGGGCAAAATCTTCAGTAATGGAGTTTCTTTGGGGTAAGGGGGGTTAAGATTTTCAAAACATCCTATATATGTGGGGTATTACATTTAAAAAGTTTAATGACATATAACATTAATAACTAAATGAAAAATATTAATCACATGGATGAGTGTTATTTTTATAGACAAAGACGATTACTTAGATAAATTTGATTACCAAATAAAGGGAAAAAAATCTACAAAATCGGATTATAAATGTAATTTATATCATGAAAAATGCATTGACTCATGACTAACTTTTACGATGATATTTTATGAAACTAACATGTATAATGTTATATAATTTGTAATCATTATGTCATGTCTTTTTTTTATTGGAAAGTAAATATTGTATATATAGGAAACACAGAATGTACATGTATATGAGGCACAACCTGTGACCAAACACATTAGGCTCAGCCTAGTGAAATAAAAAGGTATACAACATAAACAAGAGGAAACGTTACGTCATGTCAGAAATGAGAAATAAGAGAACCATGATAGTATCCGATATTTAAAAAAAAAAAAAAGTAGACTTCCATTCTTGTTGTTCATGTATCTATCTTCAAACACAAGACACTGGAGAAAGACTTTATTTATAGTAAAATTTCTTGCATGCATTGCAGGTAATACAAACCTAAACACTCCATGTTGCCGAGTATCCACAACAATGGCCAAGGGGCTATGTATTCCTGGAGAAATTCCATGCACTAACAGGGCTGAATATGCATGTTGGGACAGTTTTCATCCTTCTGAGAGTGTGAATATGATAATTGCAAGAAGAGCATACAGTGCTCTATTACCATCTGATGCCTATCCAATCGATATTCATCGCTTGGCTCAACTGTGATGATCTTTGTCACATAATCCAAAAAAATGATTACTATAAATAAAAAAGTTTCAGAACTTAGATGTTAAGTTATAGAGTTCAATGATGATACTCAATTTTTGCGTATTGTACTTTTTTTCGTACCAATAAGAATAAGACACGAGTAAAGCTCTTGTATTTCATTATTTCACTTTATTTTATCATTTTCATGCTCAACGGTCGCAAATAAACCGAGGTACGATATATGATCAGAAATGATTTTTGCTATGGTACGAAAAAACATTTTTCAGCATGAGCACCATATCCTAGTAAAATGAGTATGACATTAATAGAAGCTTTTACCGGTTTAAGACTTAAGCACATTGCTCTTTCTAACCCATAAAAACACTATTTTCTAACCCGAAAAATGTTATCTGTGGACAATAATTACCATTCACATCTGGGCAAGAACTGACTACCTATGAAGCCCAGTATTGGAGAGGAAAATCATTACTAACTGTTCTCCTCAAGCTCAGCCTTGCAGTGACCATTTACTACATTTGGATGGAAAGAAACTGTAGGCTTTAGAGGAATCAGTCCATGAACCAATCCTTGCTTCTCAACCTTATGGTTCAGACTATTAGGGACAGAATTGCAACACTCAAATTCAGATCCTCTTCTAGGAACCTGATTTTAGCCCAATCTTGTCAAATATCTCGTGGATGCTTGATCTATATTGACAAATGACAACCAGACTGCACCCCCTTCAAATATTCAAAGAATGTGTGGAACAGCTCCTTGCAAATTAGTGGACAGGTTTGGAATCGCCCTAGTGATTGCTCGAGTCAACATTTAAAGGAATGATCAAAATTGCTAATTTTTCCATCTCTATCTTGGGCTCATGGCCTTTACTTTCACTGGAATCCTGCATGGATGGTCTCATGCTTCTTTTTTGTGTTTTTTATGCTACAATGGGGCCTGTCCATTGTTTTTTGTAAGGACTCACTCCACTGTCTTGTAAATCATTTTTTTTGGATCAAAACAAACTTGTCATTTCGAAAAAAAAAAGGGAAAAAAATGTTATTTATATCTAATGGGAACCTAATTTGAAGATCTAATTAATTATAATTGTTGGATTGAAAATAAGCTCCGTCTAACAATGGAACTCACAATTCATTCAATGATTGCATTGAATTAGGTCTCCAAATGATGTCTTTATAGCATTGCTTTTTCTAACCACAATGAATTACCAAACAGAGAACTTTCGTTGAGTTCCCATTGCCAATGGTGTGCTAAAATCAGAAGCCTAGCCACTACTCTCACCTCCCAGAACCTCTTGTTTTTTATATATATGTCCTTCGCCCAATTTTCCCAAAGTCATGGAGACTTTTGAGACCCATTCCTCCGTAGTTTTGATCACCTTAGACCATGCAACTTTTGCTCCAGTTATTGCCATTTTATTACCAGTCTAGAGGTAAGACCTCATCAGTTGTTCAAGCCCTTTCAGCTCTCCTTTGGGATCAATTAGGTGACAGAGTCAATAGCTTTGTATATTGTAGATCACTGATTTGATAAGCAGTAGCCTACTAGCATCGAAGAGTGACCGATTAACCCAATATTTGATTTTGGTTTCAACTTGTCAAACAAGGCAGCATAGTCCCTTGCTTTCAGCTTGCTTGATATCTAAAGTATGCTAAAGTATCTTATAGGAGGTTGTGATCCTCACTAACTCCAGCCAAGAGATCTGACTCTTTGCAGAATCAAAGTTCAGTATAGAGAGCTCTTGAAATTTATTAAGTGCAAGTTTTAGTAGTAATGTTGAAGATTTCTGAATTGCTTCAACGCATACTATTGTAGCGCGTGAAGAGGTAAATAAAAGATCCAAAAGATAGGATTAAAATATGACAATTACTCTCACTACAATAAAAATCGTTTTTTGCGACAATTTTTTTCGTCGCTAAATTAAGAAAAATCAATTACTTCAACATAAAATGTTACTCAAAAGACTCTTATAGCCAACTTTTATACTAGGTTAAAACCTAAGGCACAAAAAACAATTGAAAATGAGTGAAGAGAATCAGCTTATATATTAGTTTGAGTACTTATTTTATCGAGGCTGGGACAAGTACTAATAATAAGGTTGATCTTTTCTCTCAGCATTTCACTTAGAAATAAAAATAAAATAAAAATAAAAAAGCACTGAAAAAGCTAACGATGCATGTAACAGCCTAGCAAGAATGTGGGAAGAAGAGAGAACAGATAAACCAACAAATAGCATGAAAGTAGTTTTATGACTTCATTGTATCACAATGCGAATACGACAAAAAAGCATAGAAATTCTCTACTAACAATTTTTGGAGTCTAATGCCAATACATGAAGCAGCAATAAATGTTATGATAAGAGTATCAAGCCCCCTCTAGATGCTTGAAGTTTATCTCACTTCTCAGTTTTTGTTGTAAAGCTAAACTTTCACCTGGTAATTGAGATTAGACCTTCTCCACAAGAACTGAGAACAGGTGAAATCACAGGCCCTTCACACATATTAACTGCACATAAAATGGAAAGGAAGTATCAGGAGAATGTTTCTTGGTACCCTCTTAGGATCAATCAAATATGGCTGCAATATTGTTCATAATACTATACAAACCGGAGGTTTTAATTTGCATACATCTGTGTCAAAAGTAATTCTATATTTACATGTAGAAAGAAAAGAGAGTTAGTTTGTGAAAATGAAACAATTTTAGTTGGTTTTACTAGTAATTGTAGGTAAAGGGATCTAGCTATTAATTTAGGTATCGTTTCATGACGCTTTGCTAAGTGGTTTTTTGTTCTTTTAATTTTTTTTTTTAGATATTTTTGGTAACACTTGTTTTTTTATTCTTGCTTCTCCCAGCATATTCCTATATTTAATTAACATATATTTTGATTGATCCCTTCCGCTGTCACTTAATCTTATGTATCGTATTACACGTGCGCACATATGCAAAGTTATCTTTTATTTCTCAAGTTGCATATAAATTATTTTTACAATCCAATAAAAAAAAATTATTTTTTGACGAAATTATGTTTCTACTTAAAAAATTACTGCCAAAAAAGTAAACAATTGGAGCAAGTTTGCATGGAACAACTGATGTTTTTCATTGGATAATATCCAATGGAATCAAGAAGAAACAAGTTTGAAAAACTGAATTGCTTGTGGTCCTCAAAATGACATTAGTCAGTTGGAGTGTAAGGTCTTTCACAGATCCAAGATATTCAAGTCCATAAGTGCTTAAAATTATTGGGCAATGAAGAATGCATATGAATTATGAATGAATGTAGCATGCATTGAGAAATATGTTGTTTTGTGGTGGTGGATGATACAAGAGATATTCTTACACCAACTGAAGGGATGTGTGGTCTTGTCGGGAGTAATGATCGTTCAATTGCAGCCCATTAATTTGGAGGTAGTTTCGAGCCTCAAATGGTTGTGGTGGCAGGAGTTCATAGTCTGAATTTCCAGGCATCAAGGTCATCTGCTGCTGGGCTCTCTCATTCTCAGCTATCTAAATACCTCAAAAACAGAAACCATATACAATCACAAAATGAATGTATGTTTGTGTTCCACTTAAATTCGCAATTAGTAATATACCAAGAAGTGAAATAGAGTACTGTATTAGAGGGTATCTCACTACCATACACCCATACACATGAGACGCACAGAGAAAGAGAGAGAGAGAGACCTTGGCTCGGAGGTACTGATTGTTGTTGTGCAAGTCTACTTCCTGTAGTGCATCAGTTGGTTTAAGATAAAAATAAAAGCACTATCAGATATTAGAAAGAAAAACAAAAAATTTATAGCGCAGTTAATGTAGTGTACAACATTTGAGAGCAGATTGTTTGGAGCATGTGAAGAAATATGCTTGACATAGAATCCTAGGATAAAGATGAAGAATACTGACAAAATTAAGCAAGACTACAATTTTTTTTTAATTAAACCTTGACAGTGCAAGGGTAAAATTTTATTAATATAAAAAAGAAATTACATCTAGAGAGGGGGGGGGGGAACGTAATGAGCCTTACCTCTCATATGCATTCTAGGCTACAGCATTAAAAACTATAGTCTACAAATGCTTACCCTCTTCTGCATAAATTCAACTTCAGCAAACAGCAGTTCATTCTGCAATAGTATGAGGAGAGAAATGTTAGATGAAATTGATGAGATTGTGACAAAACAAGATAGGAATTCTATGTGACAATTGATAAGGAATATTCAAGACTGTATCATATAAAATTAAAGACTAGTACTTTTTTGGATCGGATTTTGCTAATGCCTCTCTCTAAACGACTCTCCAGGTTCTTGAGGTCCCTCACACTCAAAGACCCAAGAGACTCACCCAGCATATTCCTGTAAATAACTTTTGTAAGAATTCTTTCAAAAATTTCTTCAAACCAGAAAATTTTTTTTACTATAAGATTGACAAATACATCTTTAAATTACCTGTTTGAGTTCTGCAAATTCCCTATTTGTGCACGCAATTTCGAGGCTTCTTGCTGATAGAACTGAAATAATTTTCGAACGAAGACTTGTGTTAGAGTACTGGTACCAGGCCTTTGTATCATCCAGCAAGGGCTATACTTCCAACCTCAAAACACATAGTATTACAATCATCTCCATAAAAGAAGTTCCTAGTATTTATTTATTTTTGTTCGTGAATACATCATCTGTGAATTCAAGGCATGTACATAGCTTGCTTCACATGGATTTTGGTACTAGAGCACATAAATCAATTTCAAAATCTCAGACTATATAAGCCAAACGACAGTACATCTATATTTTGGTCAGTTATTCTTCCGGAAAGTAAAAGTTGTACTGAAATGAAGATTCAACAATGGACAAAGGAGGGCTTGCCCTTCCAAAAAACATGGAGCACACCATACAGTGGCTTTGTATAGAGAAAACTGGACTAATAGCTGAGGGAAATTTAGGTGGAAGTAAAGGCCCTATGCCAATACTTCCAACCCATGACGGACCCCTGTTCCCTTGATTGGTAGATGAAGCACGGGACGTTGCTAGTCAATTCTTTAGATTCAGCCTTGTTAGTTGGTTAGATTGGTCTCAGAAAGCCCTCCTCTCATTACAGGGAAAATAAGTGGGAGTAAAGACCTTGAGCCCATACTTCCAACCAAATACCCCTCCATTTACCACAGTCCTTTGCATCAAGTAGCATATAATAGCATATCAGATTAGCAATTATAGCAAAAACATAGTAGCACAACAGAGAAACATGTCAAAAGAACAACAGGAGGCTTCCACTTAGTTCCTTGGTTCATGGAGGCAACTGTTTGGCAGCTGCCATGCTTGAATTTTAGAGAAGCAGTTCTGTCTCTTTTGTTCTGGAGGATGGATTGCAACAGTAGTCTATGGTCGTCACAGGATTTGTTTTGGTGGGCTCTAGAATTTATTTCTTTCCAAATTTGTTACACAGTCACTTAGAGGTTGAGCTTCTGTAAGATTCTAAGCATTGATTTGCCCATCCATCTACCTACAACATGTTCCTGTACTTGCTGCCAAGAGCAATGTTGTCAATGCTCTCCATTAGGCTGCATTAAGTGGAACCAAAAAATGTGGGAGTATTGACATTCAAAGAATAAGTGTTGGTGTGATTCATTGGCACGTCTGTAGAGTAAGCCCCCCAATCCCTACTGGGGAGCATAGTGGTGGATCCTATCCTTAGTGCTAAGCCTTTTTCTTAAGGCCACCCAAAGTATAAAACTCATATTGGGTATGGCTTGAGCAAGCCATAATATGTGATACCATAGGGCACTAGGGGTCTACTCTCTTATCTGGTTCCAAGCAGATGTAGAGGTGAAGATTCCACTAGGGGAAGCAGACCATTTGATCACTTCTTCTCTGTGCAGATTTGGGGAGTATCTGGGAATGGTGTTGTTGATTTCCACTAGTTTTAGGGAGCAAATAGCAGACCGTTGTCATTGGTCATGATTCACTATGCTGGACACTTTGGCATCCTTTTAAAAGTTCAGAAACTCCAATGATGTTGCTACTCCACCTAATTAATAATGGCTTCTGTGGGTGCCAATTACCCTACCAGAGCTTGGTCTCACCATTTCCTATGACATGAACAATAAAAAGGTCTAACAGTTTCCCTGAGCCTCAACATGCTAAGCCAATTCCAAGAGGACTTTTGGCGTGCCTTGAAGACTAACAGTTTCCGATTGTTTTCTCTTGAAAAGACTAAAAATGCTAGAAGAAGCCTCTTTTATTGGTTCATTTTATTCTCCTCCCCCCCACCAAAAACAAACAAAAAAAAATGGGGACTATGGAAGAAAGTAATTGAGAGGAACTAGAACTAGAAACCACTACTTTTTTCCCTTCCACAAATCTCGAAATGTAAATAATTTTGTTAGACTGAAAAATAGCTATTACGATGTAGCTCCAAAACAACTAAAAGAACACATTGTAGTATGCACATAAAGGTAGGCTGCTCAATGCAGAGAACAAACACCTAGTCTATAAGTAACCAACCCAATAGACTAGGTTACCAAAAATACCATTCCATGGAGCATTGACTATTTTATGGTTACAAATAGAAATATTAACTCCATATTAGCTCATTAATTTCTATAAAATAATTATTTTCATCAATACATAGTAAGATGGAGTTCTAGATATCCATACCTGAGCATTTGTTTCGGAAACAGACCCGGTATTGGAGGAATTGGAGCATGCCTTCTTGTACCTGTCAATCGTTGCTTTAACACTGCAATCAAAAGCATTGATTAGATGGAAAGAGCCATGCAATGTAAATCCTTCCAAATGGAGCATATAACTACCATGTTCATACCTCAGCAAAATAATACATGACTTAAATCTTCATTAAATTTTTTTGAAGCGTTTATAACAAATGTATAATAACAAACAAGAATACAAAGTAGTTATAAATTTCCACTTAGTTAATAAAATTCCTTCTGAATAATGATTGGATTGAATAACTGAATATTTTTCGACTCGTAGGTTGTCTATAAGAAAGTTGGAGCAGTTTATTGAGTATACCAAAGGGTAAAATTTTTACTTAAACTCATACATTTCATACAACTTATGACCTCAAATAACAAGGTCTGTTTGTTTTTAACAGCAACAATTTTTTGATGCTCAATCCAATTATAGGGACTGATATAAATTCTTAAAACTAAAACAAGAACAATCAACATGTACCACGATAGAGAAATGGGGTAAATTATGTGTTTTAATTTATTGGAAAGTTCTTAGTGATCCGATCTTAGATAGCTTTGAAAGAATCAAACACATGAGAGTTCAATGAATTCAAACATAAGCAACTCCCACCACTTTAGGTTTAGGAAGAGTTAGATGCATACAGTCTTACCCTTGTATATAGAGAAACTACTTTCACAACTCGAACCCTCGACACTTAATCATAGCAGAGCTACCTTACCGGTGCGCTAAAACCTACCTAAACAACGAACATATGGGTATAAACTCCAAATTCTTAGGCGAATATAAGGTTATCTTCAACTGCACCTTTAATTTTGGAAAGTAAGTAGGTAATCTTGTATGAGGGATGAACAAATCATAATCGGAGGTGGTTTGAGAAACTATAAAATAAGTATTTGATTGTCACATATGCAATAATGCATGGGAGATTGACAACCACAACAATGGAAATATCCTTTTGTTTTAGAAGAACTGTCATCCCTTTGTTTCCTTTTCATTTTCTTTCTCTTTTTTTGTGGGGTATTTTGTATTGTGATTTTCTTGATGTATAGTTTTTGATTATAGAATCTAATCTTACTCACCACAAAACAATGGAAGATATTGCAACAACTCCTAAAGAGTATAGAAGAAAAACTTAATTTGGTGGGCAGATTTAACATTTTTGGTACTCAGTCATGGGTACTGCAACTCAATTCATGCTGAGGGATGCACTTAACAGCTTCCATGAATTATCAAGGTTACACGCCAGCCCTTCCAAGAGCAATCTTTTGTGGTTTGGTTCCTGAGGATGAAGTTGATCATCAAATTACTGTCTCGATCCTATAAAAAACTTGACAATTCCCTTCGTAACAATGCAGTTCTCTGATTGAGAAATTGAGGCTAGGGTGAGGAGCTGGACCAATAGATTTCAGTCATTTGCTAGTAGGCTACAATTAATTGACTCGGTTTTGTTTAGCATAGTTACTTTTTGGGCTTCCAATATGTCGTGGGTGTCTTGTATTCTAGTCTTAATAGGAAACTGATTTGAACTTTGTTCTTTTTAAGGATTTAGAAAGGTAGATGTCTTAGAATTTCATTTCAAGTAAAAGACCAATTAGAAACCCTATTGTATAAGAGACAAAGTATTTTGGGTCAATAAATAGATT